AGAACAAGAACCATATGTGCATATTCCTACTCATAGTTTTCTGTGACTTTGTCTGCAATTTTTCATTAACCCCTGGAGGGGACATGGAGGCTTAAACATTTACAGCTTTTTGCAATCAGTTGGAGTACCTTCCTCAACGATTCTCAAACTTTTAATGTTCGGCTAGAATTTGAACCCATGCCACTGGCTTTTGTATAAACAAATTATACACTCCATCACATAAAAAATATGACAAATTTCCTGGAATAACAAGACTAGTATATGCCAAAGTTCAAACACTTTTATTTAATATGATACTCACAGAACATAATTTTATTTGTTATTGAGTTTTGCTTACCAAAATTTAGCAGTCAACTGGCTGTTTTATCTGCCATACAAGGAGTCAGGTTGCAATTCTAAGTATAATCTGTTTTATACCTCTAATTTATGTATGTGTCTCCTGCATCTGTTTAAAATAACAATGAAGTTAATGTGTATGTTTAACTGCATTATGTTATAGACTTGTGCAAGGCTATTGATTCAAAATCGGAGAAAATGAGATTTGTTTCGTCACAATGGCAAGCTCTTAGTGCTGAAGAAAAGAATGATTGGAAGAGCAAAGCCAAGCAGGTTGACAGAATACGTCCACTAGAACTGGGAGAAGACGAAAGACGAAAACACATTGCCAAGACAAAAAAAAATCTCATGAAAGAGGTATGTAAAGTAGATGAAGAATAAGGAATATGGTCAATTAATTCACTGCTTGCATTGCTTCTCAAGATGGTGAGGAGACCCAAGTGGTAAATTTCAATTCAATTTATGAAGACTTTTTTTTAAAGATTTCTTATCTGGAAAACCTGGGATGCGAGGTGGCTGTTGTGATGATAGAACCAAGTGGGAACATCAATCAGCATGGTTCAAACAAAGGTGTTCAGTTTCTCATGCAAAACGAAGCAGTGGCAATAAAGTTCATGGAATTCTTTGGTAATGTATTAAAATGTACTGTAGATTAATTTAGCTTATGCCTATCATACAATAGTAACTCCAAACAAAATAGGCGTTTTACCAATTCAGAAATTCAATTTTATACCTAATAATCAATTTTCAATTTTATTAAAATGTACTTTACTCTACTTTATTAAAAGTTGACATGTAGAAGCCTAGTAATATACGGTAATTTACGGTAATTTATTAAGTTTGTACCTTACAATTTTAAATACAATGCAATGGAGCATTTGGAAAATTGATTGACTATATTACCTGGAGTTTCCAGTGTGTTTTGTTTGTACTACTTTTGTTGATACTGTATTGTTGGTGTCATAGTTGCTGTAGTGTACATGTAGTAAAGTAGTCAACATTAATTCCACAGATCGCCCGGCGGAAGACAAACAACATACCCGTGCCGATGTCCAGAATCTGTTCAACGAGAAATATGGTAAGTGTTTTGTATAAACCACACTTATTTCCAAAATAATGATCGCTTGTGTGAGAGAGGATTGCCTACACGTGTGTACTGCTTGTAGATTGATATCTTAACATGGCTTTTAATTATTTATTTTGTATTGATGAACTAAAATATAGCTAATTTATAATTTATATGTTTAAGGGACTTTTGTTTGGTCATAATGGATTAGTAAATACAATCATTGACAAAAATATTGTGACGAGCCGTCGCCCCCCCCCCCTCTCTCAACCACACCCTTCCCACACCCCTCCCTCACCAACACTTCCAAATCAATGTTGCCTGGATGAAAATGCTAGAGTATATCGCAGGCAAGATGCGCTAAGGCTTCAACATAACAATTCAACATTGATTTGGGGGAGGGGGGTTATTTGAGCAGCAATACTGTCGGCAAAGTTATTTTATATACTGTAAATTACAAGCACTTTTGTTGAACATTACAGCGAAATTTTTCAATAATTGTACATTATATTGTGATGATTTCTTTCACTGCAAAATAACTCACACACTTTGAATTTACATCACATGAACTTATCCAATGGTTGAAAGTACAATTGGTATTATTAATATCCATTATATGGAATGATTGCGGTGGATTGTGGTCATCTTTTCTCCTTCACAGCTAAACTTGAGATGTTTTTGTCACCAAAACAAATATTAAAATATAGTGCTATGTGTTTTAAAAATCGAAAATTGTAAGCTGTCGAGTCACCTAAACTAACCTTTTTAAATATTCACTTGATAGAGAAACTTACAAAACCCTTTCTCGCACAAGCACGTCCTTACGATAACAAGACATTAGTTACATAATTAGAAGTAGAAAGAAACTATGGAAGAATGAAATACACTAGAACTAAAAACTATACAAAATAATTATTTTAAGGAAAACTGTAAACAATCGATTTGAAGTTCTAGGCCTATTTGACTTTGGTAGTTTCTGAACTTTTTACACTTTTAATAACTTTATATAATGATAGATTAATATTTTTGAATTGTAAAAATAGCCTTTTGTAAATTTATGATGTAATTTAACCTGTCGGTTACATTATACAGGTAAATCTATCAGGTACATACATGTACATCATCAACTTGTTAACAGATTGCAATAATCGGAGACTTACAAAACCTTCCGTCTCTTATTTTACTTTAGGTGAAGCATGTGGGATTCCTGGCAGTAGAGTTCCTTACAAAAAAGGTGGTTTTACAGTTACTGGACTGCCTGAAGGAATTATTTTTAAGAAGCCGCTCAATTATGGAAGTGATCAGATAAAGAAAGTAATGATGAATGCGGAAGAAATTATCTTTCACATCACAGGAGAACGAAACATAAACGATTCAAAACTAACCCATGACCCACTGGCTAGTACATCTGTACCATCAGACATTCAGAACTTGCTTTCTAAAATTATTGAGAAGGAACTGATACCTGAAGTCGTTTCTGGCAAGTATTCAATAGAAGAAAAAGATTTGGAGGTTAAGGATTTGCAAATTACCAAACAAGAATTTCAACATCTCACTACCAGGTTTCGAAAGTACTTCACTGAAGATGGCTGGAATTCCCTGAAAGGAAACTATGAAAGAAAACTGTTTGAAACTTTGCACAATTATTCGTGTCACAAAAGATGATACACAGTTAATATTTCAGATCAATTGAGAGATCAGAAGTGTACGATGAAAAAATAGGCTTAGCTTTTCTAACTTAGGTGTAATTATAGGGTGTCAGAGCAGATCATGCGTGATCGATTTCAAACTTCACGAAGGAATTACTGCTTGAAACTTTGCACAACTATTTGTATCACAAAAAATTCTACACAGTTAAAATTTCAGCTCAATTGAGCGATTGGAAGTGGGGGATGAATGAATAGGCTCAGCTTTTCTAACTTAGGGGTGTAATTAATATAGGGTGTCAGAGCAGATCATGCGTGATTAAATTCAAACTTCACGAAGGAATTACTGCTTAAAACTTTGCACAATTATTCGTATCACAAAAGATGATACACAGTTGAATCAACATAATAATTACTTCAAATTTCTTAATTAATTTAACTTGTAGGTACCCCACGTAAGTATTTAACACTGCATTAAACTTGCTGTATTTTAAAAATACTTAGGTGGTGCACTTACACAAGCTAATTTAATTATTGATGTCACCAAGCAAACATACAAGAATATTATTCAAATTTCTTATTTAAAAAACAACAAAGAGCTATATTCACCAACAAAAGACTATCACTTCAAACACAGTGAATTTTGAGCAATGAGGATGCAGGAAAAATCAATAGTCACCTGGAAATTTATACTAAAGCGTAATATGCGAGGGACAAATTATTTCAATTGTTTTAAATAAATAATTTAATTTAATATTTGTTATAATTTTCTTGTATGATTGCATGGCGACTTTAGTAATTATAATAACTTGTAGGTACACCACGTAAGTATTAAATACTGCAAAGCTTTCGGTCCGTTAACCCGGACCTTCATCAGTGCAATTACTTGAATACACGTTTGCGCGTCACTTAAATATCATGTTAGTCGTGATTAGTTTGCTCGCGCTATTAATTAAACGGTTTCATTTAATTAAGTTCTAATTAATGCGCGCGCCCTAGACAAGTATTTGACTAAGAGACACCAAAAAGAGCACGCCACGTACTATTAAGTGGCTTTCCCTCTTGGACGATAGTTTGATGTTTATAAATTTCAATAGATTCTCTCATTTTACGAGAGACAGTAAACTTATCGTTTGCTAAAATGGTAGCATCGTTCCATTTAATGCGATGATCATAAGTCCATGCATGGTGAGCTACTGCAGACTTATCCAGTTTACCTTTCTCGCAGTTCGTCTTATGTTCTTTAAGACGTATTGAGAGATTTCTACCGGTCTCTCCAATGTAAACCAAACAACATTCACATGGAATGCGGTACACACCAGGTTTCTGTTGTTCATCGACGCCATCCTTGTGTGTGTAAAGAGCGCGAAACAATTTGTTATTGCTAGAATGGTAAACTTGTATTCCAACTTCTTTTAAAATCCTAACGATTTTATATGAAGCTGGGCCAATATATGGTAAACAGACAGAGGATAGAATGAAACTCGTAAAATGAGAGAATCTATTGAAATTTATAAACATCAAACTATCGTCCAAGAGGGAAAGCCACTTAATAGTACGTGGCGTGCTCTTTTCGGTGTCTCTTAGTCAAATACTTGTCTAGGGCGCGCGCATTAATTAGAACTTAATTAAATGAAACCGTTTAATTAATAGCGCGAGCAAACTAATCACGACTAACATGATATTTAAGTGACGCGCAAACGTGTATTCAAGTAATTGCACTGATGAAGGTCCGGGTTAACGGACCGAAAGCTTTGCAGTATTTAATACTTACGTGGTGTACCTACAAGTTATTATAATTAATATTTGTTGTTATATAATTTTTCACATTAGACGGAGACTATGTTTGTGCACCAAAAATAAATCAGATTGTATAGACAAGATATATAATTAAAAAACCTATTATGTACATCAAACATCATGCAAAATGATACAGAGAGCTTTGGATTGATTTAGAAATCCATTTCAGATTCATCTTCAACCTCGTCATCTGAACTGTCTAAAATTGACAATATCTCATTGTCCTGTTCTTCACTCTGTTCCTTTTGGTCATCTAGTTGATCCAAGTTCTCGAAAACGTGTTTGGTAGAGGGCATGGTGCTTTCATGACTCCATTCGATTTTTGGAATGGACGATGATACATTATCTGGTAGGTGATTGCCAAACGTTGCACCAAGAACAATTAGTTTGTTTTCCTCTTCCAGAATCTTTCTTTGAAGTATGCACCGAATTCCTCGAATGAGTACGGTTTATGACGAGTCATTGTTGTCCTTCAGCCATTCTAAAAAACTTGACTTTTGGGTTTGGTGATACGTAACAAGCCTACACATTTCAGTTTCTAAATAACTTGTTTCCTCCTTGCATCTTTCGATGAAATTATGCAAATCTATTGCGCTTTTCTTCACAGAATATTGAACTTGATCCTCACTCAAAGTGCTTTCTCTGAAATCCTTATATAGGTCGGATTCTGGATCTTTTACCTTGTCAAACTCTAGCTCTTCTGGCAACCCAGTTACATTGTCTTTCCAAGCAGCAAGGCTAGCGTTGTACTTTTCAACAACTACTTTAGCAGAATTCGTCCTTTGTGTTATCTGCTTAGAAACTTTCTCTGCAATTGCTTGGCCGTCTATTAATCGATAAAAAAACACAAACGAATGAGTCATGTCAAACTTAGAGTGGGAATTCCCATTTAAAGCTCATCATTACAAATGAAAGTAATGTCGATTCATAGGATACGGCACACCGTGAATAAACATGTTGAAAACCTAAAACAGTTTTACCATTACAGTATTAGCATACGAACTTTAACTTCCATTATAACATAGGATTACTAAAGGGGTCGTACGCGTCTACGCGACGCAAGCCTTTTTAATGTTTACATTATTTTGTTTTGCCTTCATTTTGAATAAAAGGCAGTTTATATTGAATCACCAGTCCGCTTAATTGATAACTATATGGTGCCAACCTAAACTAAACAACCGAGCATAGTTCTTGGATCATCAAACGATCACAATTTGAGTTATAGCAAAAAAAAACCCTGCATATTTTTGCTTCAAATTTAATAAGAACATACGTTCGACTGCAAGTGAGTATAATTTTTCTAATGCTTGGTTTCGCCTATCCCGAAGAACAGACAATGCTGCCACGTTGAATTTCTCCTCGCCTATTCTCCATCTTGGGTGAACCTTGTAGCTTTTTTCAATTCCCATGACAATTTTTAAAATCCTGAAGTTACATAAAGGTATATATGACTTTTAACACCAAAAACAATTCTATTCGGTCGCTAGTTCCAATACTTACGCTTTCTTCCTCTTTACAAGCTCGTTTATGGTTTCATGATTTTCAGCTTCTGTTGAAGCAATGCCTTGTCTGTAGCATACCATTATAAGTATTAGAAAATATTTTGTTAAATAAAAATAAATGAACAATCAGCCAGGAAATGCACAAAATATATCATTATCAGTCTAACCTCAGTTCCTGCAAGAAAACTAAGTTATGTACGTATTTAGCCTCCCACGACATGGGCGATGGTTTTCTCTCTACAACATCAACAGTTTATGATAATATTACACGTCTTGTTACAAATGAACACGGTATTTCCTTATGTTATAATTGGTACATACTGCCTCTCGTTAACAACATATTCTCTTCTGCTTTCATCCAAGAGTTAATTACATCAGTACCATAGGAAACTGAAATTGAAAGACCTTTCTATTATAACGTAATTCGACCTATGACAGCACTATGATACTAACACTTACATTGAAATTTTGCGCATATACAAAAGCCTCATCCAATAACTGTTTAATACTATCAAATGTTAGATAAGATGTTCTACCTTTTAAATCTGAAAAGATCTCCTCCAACTGTACTACTGAGTTTTCCATTAGTTTCTTTGTTTTTTGCATTTTAGACAACAATGCCGGACCTGTGGGGAAAAATCAAGCATTGAATTACAAATATATAGTCGCAAAAAGATTACCAATACTGTAATGATATTGGTGGCATAAATCCACCAAGGCAGAAATATTCAACTAGCCAAACTGTAGAAGACGATGTCTTGCATGGTGAAGAAGCGCATCTGTCAATACCTCAACCCTTCGACCAGCTGTCATTTCCTTTGTCATTGACGAAAATCCTCTGAGGTAAGACCAAAGTCTTTCAATTCCTTCACCGTCAGTAAGGCCAAATCCCTCCTTTCTTCTAGGACCAAAAGCAACCTACATTTCGGGACAATTCTGAGATAAATAACAACATGCGACATACTGCATGACTGCACCTAAGAATGACAATTAAATTTTTGATAACAAAACCGACAACTTCTAAACCATATATTGACCTGGCAAGAAGATTTATGTCCATATGCATGGAAAACAGGAATTGCCAAGTCAATGCGTCCAAGAATGGTATGCTCTTCGTTTTTCTATCAAAAATAAAATATATATGCAAATGGATATTGAAATTCATATATATTATTCGTAAGATTACATCTCCAAATGACAGAACTTTACTTCTTCTTAGAATTTGAGCTGTAATCAGGCAGCTACGCCTATACCTTACCTTTAGGTGGGCAGACAAAGTACATGCAATGTCATACATTATTTTAACATCAGTATCCTCATCATAATGACACAGAAGCTTTTTAACCTCATACACTGAATATGCTATCCTAAAATATACAGTATGTTGCACTAAATTACTATCAACATGTACACTTGCACTTTAATTTGATGACTGTTTGCTCACCTTTCTCCATGTTTGATACTCATAAATCCCCTTGGGTATTCATGTCTGCATACTCTACCAAACACTCCCTTCTCGTCAAAAAGCTTATTTCTTCCTTTGGATCATAACAAGTTACTAACCTCACCAGATTTAAATTCATTGCAATCCTAGGAAAAACAGTGGATTCTTCTATAATAATGATAATATTCACCAAAACTACTTTTTACAGTACAATCACCAGTAACCTGACATCATCCTGATTGGCAAAAAATGTACCATTGTGTCTGGCAGGTAAAAGATTCGCATCAGCAGACTTTTCTCTCACAAGCCTAAAACATCCATCCATGCACTCAATGGCAACATTCTTGTCAGTATCAGTTTCACTCTACAAAATTATCACAATATGTTAAATACAAAAAGGAGAATGTGACATAAAAGAAAAAATACCTGTGGAGTTCTATACCTGCAAAGGACATAACGGGCAAACATTGTCAGGTTTTTGTTGCAAGACAAATTGTTTCATTGTTTTGAACAAATGTTGGTGATATCTACATAAATAAAATATTATTGTTGGTAATGTAAATATATATATATATATAGAATTGAAGCTTAAAATTTATCATAAAAAGTTGCAAAAACAATAAAATAAAATATTTGACAAGAACAGTACTGTGTCATGCAGTTAACCAAAATACGCCCCTACCTAAATTCATCAAAAGAATCATCATTCAATATTTTATAGAGATTCTTAACCTTAGAAAACCAAAAAATATATATAATGTATGAATAAATTTATTTATCTATGGTATATAATTAAAGTGTACCATATATGACATAACATTGATTATTTTATAACACAAAAGAAATCTTTAATATGTTTCACATGTATATATAACTTATTTTCTAGTTTCTCACTTCATTTCATGGTTTGCTAACGAGACATTCCAATTTGTGTGATATGTAAATAAGTGTATATTTGCACGTCCACTAATTATGAAATTTTAAACTTCGCTCGGAACATGAGTATCTGCACTTTGTAGACTTTATAGTTACTGTATACTAGTTAGCTGGCAACCAAACTAACATAATTAGTAGGCAAATATAATTTAATGTCTTATACATCAAACAAATTGAAATATCTCATTAAAGCTGGAATCAATAATATGTAATAAATTATAGTTATTTTCTTTATCTATTTAATGCCCATGGCATGACTCTAGTATTTTACTCTGGCTAACCCTATATGATTTTACTTGTCCAATGGAGATTCCAAGCATCAAAGTGTTAATAAAACAGTCAAGTTATTGTCATTTAGAGCATTTAGAGTTTATATAGTTAATCCCATGTCATTTTCACACAGATAAATATTACACAGTATATAATAATTTATACTTGGTATGCAGTATGCTCAATATTATTATTATATTTTAATCAAGAATTGTCTATTTAGAAAATATAAACATAAAGTATTTGGAGAGGTTAGGTGTCAAGAATTTGTTCTGAATGATGTTGAAATAGCATGGAATTACTCAGCTTCAAATGTACAACAAAATAACATACCCAAACAGGAAGCATATTGGACTTATTGAGGCCCAACACATCACAAAATTTCTTTAACGATACATGGCATTCCAATAGAAGTGTCTCAGCAAGTGTAACCAACTTAAAATGAAATGCAACCTGAGGTCTAACAGCTGATCCTGGCCATAATTGGAACTTTACAAGTGTAACTGCAGCATCTTCACAGTTACAAAAGTTGATCCATTTCAAGTGTTGATGCCCTAATAAAAATGCACCATAGGAGAAACTTACAGAACTTTTCTCAAAATTATTTTAGGACTGAAAACAAACTTGAATACAGTTATCAAATCCACAGTACCAATAAACCCACCTCTGACTCCTGAGGGAGATGCAAAATAAAATGAAGGCCACACAGTACCTTTTTCATCAATACAAATAATGTTTTGTGCTTGTGCAGTTGGACAATTTCTTTGGTGATCAAGAGTCAAAACACCATGATTAACAAATAAAGGAACAAAACAACCATCCTGAAAAAATAAGCAACATTAATTTTCAAACAGTTGGGTCTGGGGTAGGGTCAGTTCTGAATATGTAATATACATATAAAAGATATTGAAATATGTTATATTTTACGCCAAAAACATCACACGCACCTTGAAAATTTCAAGTAGGTGAAAGACGTTGCGTTGTTCGTGGATAGTTTTCGCGCAGTTGATGCAAAACAACTGTCTAGGACCACAATCCACGCAGCGACAAACAGCGAAGTTGTTATGGCACTCGATGCACATTATACTTTCGTCACAAAAAGCTTCTTCCTCAATGCGTGCTTACAAAAGAGACCCCCTCACATCTTCCCAACTGTGATACTCTTTCACCCGGCGCAAGTGATATCGTGAAAGACTAGAAAAAGCTTGGTCATCACTTTCATGGCTGCTATTTATATCGTCGATATTTGAACCATCAACATGTTCTTCTTCCATTCCCGTTGTGAAAAACTTCTGCTTACTCGAACTTGACTCCTGAGAAATCTTGCAATAGTTCTTTGAATTTAAACGCACATGTCTTGTAGTTTTTTTTCCCTTTGTTGACTGCGTATTAACGCGAATTTTGCATGCCTTAAAACGCTTGCAAGAATCCGCCATTTTGGCGAACTTCTATTCCCCGAGCCGGCGCGAAGCGCCGTGCGAGGGTACTAATTCCGCTGGGAGATTTATTACACCCGGGTATTCTGACAGAACATAGCGAAATCCAAAGTTGCTCAAATTCTATGTCGTGTATGGTGGCCAAGAGCTGCCAATTGAAATTTATCAAAACATTTTCCTTTTTTTTTTTTTTCTACTTTTTTTTAATTTTTTTAAAAATAAAAATAAAAAAAAAGAAATTGAGTGTGGCCGACGACTGCCACTTGGCCGATCGCTGCCAACTAGTTTTCAGGCCATAAAAAAAATGCACGCAGCTTTTTTGCTAATATGGCGGACGGTGATAATTGGAAAGAGGATATTCAACTCAAAACAGACTTAGAGAAATATGTATGTCAAGGAATGAACAGGAAAAAAATTTTGGACTTTGTACAACGAGATTTTTCGAGCTATGCGTGGAGCATACGTACATTAGACAGGCGTTTACGGTATTTTGATATATACTACAACCACAGTGATATACCAGTTAATGATGTGAGAGAAGCAGTACGAAAAGAAATTGAAGGTCCTGGCAAACTGTTAGGCTATTGTGCTATGCACCAAAAAATAAGACAGGAACACAACTTACTTGTTTCTCGCGATGCCGTATATGATGTGATGGCTGACGTTAACCCAGAAGGGTTAAAGGCCCGTGGCCCAGTTGGCGTTAATAAACAGCGAAAGAAAGGTAATTTTACTTCAAAAGGCCCAAACTGGGTTCACTCGATGGACGGGCATGATAAGCTTATGGGCTATCAAAACTCGACCTTTCGTTTAGCTGTGTACGGATGCATAGATACAGCAAGCTGTAAGATTCTGTGGTTAAGAATATGGGTGTCCAATTCAGATCCACGTTTAATAGGAAGGTGGTATTTAGAATACCTCATGGAAACCAAGATCATATCAAACATGATACGAATTGACAAGGGTACTGAAACAGTTTTAATGGCCACCATGCACGCATTTCTACGTAGAAATCATGGTGACCAATCTGATACCTCTGAGACTGTAATCTTTGGACCTTCCACCTCGAATCAGGTAAATTACCTAATAAACATGCATATAACTATTGCTATCATCTAGAGTTGTGCAAAAACTGCCATATTTTTATTTTAATATTAACTTTTTATAGATTGAGAGAATGGTGGAAGGAGCTCCATGAACGATTAGAAAAATTTTATAAAGAGAAACTAAATATTCTAAAGGATCATGGATATTATAATCCGCATAATGAAACTGACAGGTTTAGTGATGTTAAATTAATTGTATATTGGCCAATTTTTTTAGCATATCAGTTCAACTAATTCAGTTTTATTTCTTTTCTAATAGAAATCTTTTGGCATTTATTTTAATTCCTTTATTACAAAGGGAGCTAGATATTTTCAAAGATACTATTTGGAACTCCCACAGAATCCGCAAGCAAGCAGAAACAACGTTACCAGATGGGATTCCAAATCATATTCATGCTTTCCCTGAAGAATATCATATGGAAGAATGTGGTAATATGTTAACATACCGTTCAGTAAACCCAATGTGATTGACAATTATATTTACTTTATTAATGTATTATTTTACAAGGCTTGCCAGTGCATGATGAACAACTACAAGAAGCAGCAGTTTTATCTGGAGTACTAGATGTCCAAGAAGATTTTCTAGATGCACATTTTAGACAGATGTGCGAGCAAGTCACTTCAAACATGGATGTCATTCAAGCTACTAATTTTAGTGAATCATATATAACTCTTCGACATAGCATCTTGAATATGTCTTCTGTATAAAGTTAACAATTGATCTGTCAGACATTCAACTGCTGATCAGTAAATCAAGTTTAATAACTTAGAATGAACTTTTCAAATTATGTTATGCTGTTGTATTTTTCAAAACAAACTTTAAATTATGTAACAGTATTTTGCAAACAACATCAATATTAAAAAAACATAACGAAACCCACAACTAATCCCAAATACCATTACTATAAGACTATGTTTTGCCAAAAGATGCATCTGGACTGTCTTACGTGTGCGATCTTCCAGGGTCAACCCAATTTCTTCAATATTGCTCTTGCCACCTGAAGTGTATCTTTTGATAACCCAATCACGACCTGCAAATTCTGGATGTTTACTAGATGCTTTGAAAGCATTTCGAAAAGCTCCAGTACCAATTGGCTTTGTCTCCTCCAGAAACTCCACCACTGTTGGGACCTTTGACCATACAACACTATCAACATCAAACTTGTATATGCTGATAACAGTTGTTGGTTTATCAACATTCAATTTCCCAAGTTTGATCATTTTGGAGAGAGACATACTCATTGGATATTTAGTAGGACTTGAACTGCTACTCGCTTCACCTTGGTTCACTTTACGCTTACGGGGGAGACAAACTGATTTTGCACTTGAAACATAAACAAAGCTGTTTGACTGGATAGAGTCAAACTGGTACAGAGAAAGTTCGCTTGCTTCGCCACTGTCTACTTTTCCTACAAACCTCACATGTATAAGTTTTAAATTAGGAATCTGACCTATAGTTTTGCAGGAAGGTCCCTGCTCTCCCGCCAGAATATCACACTCCATATTACCTCCAATTCTAGAAGCAAAATGCGCCTTGCATGCCCGTTTAATCGTGTTGATTGTAAGCTCTTCGTTTGTATCAAACTGCACGAACTCACGAGGTCCTACTCGTGCATACTTTTGGGCTTTTCCCGATACCTCGGAGGATAGCCTCTGTATGGTTAACTGGTCACCTTGAAACTTTTTGCTTAACTGACCTCCTTTATTCGCTCTTTTTTCTTTTATTTTGTTATTCAGCTTCCTCCATGCGTCAGCCATTGTTTTACAACACCACGTGTAATAGGGCGCGTTTTCTTTTTATGGCCTGAAAACTAGTTGGCAGCGATCGGCCAAGTGGCAGTCGTCGGCCACACTCAATTTCTTTTTTTTTATTTTTATTTTTAAAAAAATTGAAAGAAAGTAGAAAAAAAAAAAAGGAAAATGTTTTGATAAATTTCAATTGGCAGCTCTCGGCCACCATACTCGTGATCGTGGACCGTGGACGTTCAATGGTCATGGTACTTGTGCGCATGCGTGAAATGCGAACGAGTGTAGACTGGTAATCAACGAACGTTCTGATTGGCTAGGACAGAAAGTTTGTAATTCAATGAGAACGTCAGCAATTTAACTGTCATTTCGTAAACATTTTTGTAAAAGCGTTTCATAAACTTTGTGCAAAGAAAGTAAAACGAGAAGAAACAAGATATATGAAGCATGACAGATAGCAAAGATGAACGTGGATACAGTCAAAACAAAGCCGTGTAAGAGGAATAATTCATAATCTCCAAGCTTATAAATGTTTTCAAAGACAAAGGGTACGTGTTTATTTTGTTTATCTCGTACTTGTTTCGCGGTAAGAATGAGCCGTATTTGTATACTTTTCAGCTTTGTATGCCGTTCATTTGTTAAATTTTCTGTTTTTCTGCAAACGCATAAACCTGTGAAGGGCTATTACACCTTTGCTTTAACTTCAAAAATTGTTTTTGAAAGTGTAATTTGAATTTTGGTATCAAAAATACACACTATATTTATAAAGTATACTGAAACTTTTAGCCGCCGGCGTTGACTGCAATTACAGAATAAAATAACATTTGAAGTTTTTTCTTTGTCTGTGAAGATTTTGTACTGCAAAATTGAACGGGCAATGTTTACACTAGCTTTGTGATTATTTTTGTATTGAATGATGGAAACTTTAAGACTGATTTGAGTTTTGTGTCATTTCATAATATAAGTTTAGATCAGGTTAACTCAGGAAATTGTGTACTTGGTTTGAAATAGCGAGGGGTTGCTGCATGCATGTATTTCTAGTTAGAGTTTATAATACACAATAATAACAAATAACTCGTTCCCAGTACAGCAAACAGCGAACGCGTTAGATGGCTCAGATGATCATCCCATGTGAAAACTTATAATTCTCAATATATGTGATTTAGAACATGCGGAACGGGTGAAATCTTGCACCAAATACAAGCGTAATCAGATGTTGCTCCCTTCATGCCGAGCAACAGCAACAGGAACTGTGTGTACAAAAAAAGAAAGTTTGTTAACAAAATAATAACGTAAAAAACAATGCCTCCGTGCGTTTGCTCAAAGTACCTTGTAATCTGAACCGAGAAACATCTCTACAGGTACATGTTTCTCATTAATATCCACAAAGCCCATGTCAACAATCTTGTTCACATCATCAAAAATCCTTGCACAGGATTCCTTCAAAATATCATAGGATTCTTTCCCCTTGATAACTGCAACCGTGTGATTTTCTGGAATGATCAAGGGAAGTATAATTGGTTGCTTTATAATAACCAGATATCACAACAAGCCACATAATAATATAAGATGAATTAGCCCATTAAGCCGCATAGCTCCCCACTGACGAGTAAAATCGTCTGCTGTTGGACAAGTAAAAAAATAAGTAGGGTGCACTGGGGTGCATTGCCACTTAATGGGTTAAACTTTCACCTTTGGAAGATAGTACAGCTTCACCTTCATTCAGTATTGAGAATGAAAGTATTATGAACCCTGTGATCCTGGACATTTTGGCACCGTCACCACTCAATTTGATTTTGTATTTTGTTGGTATATCTTTCCCTTCAAGCACACACTTGTTCATCTGCAAATATCAAATGTTGTATATATACTTGTAACTGAAAATACAGCTGTACAGTAAACTAGCTATCAAAGTACTGAACACTAATAGACTTTTTTAGTAATTATGTACAGTACATTGAAGATGATTTCTTGGCCTGTGAGGGAGCCTTGTCAAACATTCATGAAAGTCAATGCATCCTTAGTCAAATATTAAGCATTTGTAGAATATATAATTTTTTGAAAGGGTCTATCATAAATTAAAACTGCATTTATTTTGGTACTACAGGGTGCATAAAAAAGTAGACATTTTTTAAATTGATCTCAATTTTCTAAAATAGCTCCAAAATCCTAAAGTTCAATTTTCAGAGTCGAGACACTGTTTTCCTCAACAGATTGAAATTGGCTTGTGCACAAAATTTAAACACCTCAAAGTTATTTTGAGTTATTAGATGGAAAATCTCTTTCAATTGGTTTTATATTGCTGCTCAGGGTGGCAATACAAATTTGAAATCACTATATACATTACCATTATCATTTTTTTAGAAATTGATTGTTTTCACCGAGTCTATAAACTCGAACAATTTCCATTGTCACCCCAGGGATGTTGGTCTGGCTATGCCACTGACCTTCGGTCACCTCTCTAGGGCCAGTATCTTTATTTGTCTTCATAAAAGGGGGGGGGGGTGATATTCCTTAAAGTGGAGGAAATTTCCTAAGAATAACATCCTCCTGGCAGGTGAACACTGTGGGCCATATTTAGTTCAGACATGTAATAGCAAAAGTATATGCAAGAACTACATATACTGTTTAAGAGAATAAACTTATTAACACTAGAAATTGGCAAAACGGGCCTGGCTTGCCGTGGGGGAAAAATTATGGCAGTTGGGATTTTCTAGGAAGCCAGGGCACTCTGTGTGATATATACTTACATGGTTCTGGATTTCTCTACATAGCACATCTTTGAAGTTAAGTTGTGCACCTTCAGCAACACCAGGTGTTCGTTCTATATGCGTCAGTTTATTAAGCGACTCCTTACATTGCTTGATTAAATAAGATCTTGGCAATTGTTCTCCAGCTGGTGTCATGCTCAGCTCGTGATAAGTAGCCTCACCTATAATGCTTGTATGTTACTCTGAGTGTATTACCACACCGGGCAAGCACAAAAAATGTGCTTGACCACGGTGGGTTTCGAACCTACGACCTTTGGAATACTAGCCCAATGCTCTACCAACTGAGCTACGCGGTCACAGCGGTTCGAGTAAGTGATATTTCGGAACAGGATCTAGTTCCTTCTATACCATTGTAATCTTGTATATGACAATTTTTCTATGATGGTGCGATGTACTCAGGTGAATACAGTATATAATGTTTGTATGTTACTCTGGGCTAGTATTCCAAAGGTCGTAGGTTCGAAACCCACTGTGGTCAGGCACATTTTTCGTGCTTGCCCGGTGTGGTAATACACTCAGAGTAACATACAAGCAATATATATTCACCTGAGTACATCTCACCATATAGAGAAAAATAGACTCACCTATACAAAACTGATCAACAACAAGCAAGACTTGCTTGATTTTATTCTGGTCCTCTTCAGAAATGTCGTTGAAACTCTTCTTAGACGCTGTTGAGTTATATGCTAAAGAGTGAGTTGACCCAGACTTGTCCGAGAAAGTTGCAGATTGTAATGTTAGACCAAAGGTTTTGGTAAACCACAAGCTCTTTTCCACGTTGACCTTTAGTTCCGTAAGTTTTCGATGTTGTTGCCTTCTGCCGACATCTTGCACTTCTTTCCCTGTATTTTTAAATGTAGTTGAACTCCAATCTCATCAAGATAATCCCTCAGATCCATGTTTTGCTCCAACACCCTATCATATTCCTTCTGCTTATTGTTCAGGGCTATACCACTTGACTTACTACTATAGTTTAGAACTTTTATTTCAGACCACAGTTTCTCACATCTGTCTTTCAGACTTTTATTTTCCTTGGACAGTATCTCGACTTTCTCATTTGTTCTCTTAACTTGATCCTGAAGCTGAGTCACCTTGACAATTTCACCCTGATATATTGATATTTGCTTAACGTTAAGCAAATATTCTTTCCTTGGACGGCCATTTAGCGCACGACATTTGCTGTTTACTTCC